TTCAGATGGCTTTTCATATTTCTTAGTAGTTAGACTCTGTGAAATGAGATAACTGTTTTTTTGTCTGAGCTATGGATTGATTTTCTGTAAATAGTTATGTCTAAAGAGGTTCAGCCTAATGCAGTGAGTCTTATGTGAATTTTTATAAAATTTGATGGTTTCACAAAGAGTGAAAACAAGCACTTAGGAAAAAACTACGTAGTGAAAGTATACATCAAAAACCTTGATAGGGTGATATGCGTATGACCGAATAATGATGCTTCAATCTCGCCTAGGTGATAAATTCAGTAGTTACTAGCAGGTCCTAAGCCCGGATAAAGAGGGAAGGTTGGGCATACGGCTAGTAACCCTAACCTGGAAAACCAATCTAACTGCTAAAGAAACTTCAAAGCACAAAGTAAACATAAAAAATAAAACTAAACTTATTCCCCACTGGAATCGGGGGGGGGGGCAAAATGACGCCAGTTGATGAAAGCCTTCGGGAAGCCTATTGGCTGCTGCATCTTCTCTTATCTCGATGAAAGCGAAAGTTTGAAGCTGTCTGGCAAGCTCGCTCAGATTCCCAAGAAGATGAGAAGGTATGGCATAGAAATGCTAGAAATCTGCGAGGAGTCTGCAGATGGAATGGAGAACGACTCTCCATACTGTCGACTGGAGAGCCAATAATCTACTTCGATATTGTCACCCGGACGACAACTACGAGCATACTGAGTTTTCGAGTGGCTATCATGATGTCGCCAAGAGCAGCGATGGCTCTGATGTAGCAGGGACCAATCTACACCTGATGGATCAGGATCATAACAACAAGGTTCGACTGAAAAGCGAGGAGTGTTACAGTCATACAATAATACACTATGCACCTACGAACAATGGAGATCAAGAGAAGAAGAGGGAATTCTACTGACGACTGTAAGCAGTACTAGACAAGACCCTGTCAGAGGTGGCTACACCAAAATTCTAATCAGTGAACTGATATGAATGCCGAACAGGGAGTAGAAAAAACAAGAGGAGAACTAATCATAGGTTGGGAAGCACTCGACGAAACGAACGAAAATGGAGAATTGTTTGCAGACTTCTGCTCATTCAACGTTTCGCGATTGAGGGCAAGGTGTACAAAAACAAGGATATTCACAGAGTAACGCGGATTTGATTTCACCACATCGACACACTGAAAATCAAAACTACTTCACCTCAAACTCAAGAAAGTGGAGACGCAGCCAGCCTACTGGACACACAAAATAAGATCAAAAAGAGGAGCAGATATAGGCTCAGACAATTCACTATCTAGTACAACAAACCTACCTTCAAAATCAAGATAAAAACCTTCAAAGACTCAAAAGATTGACGACCACAATTTTAAGTTGAACACTCAAAACAGAAACTGAACGACGCATCTACAAGGGACATCTTCACGTCAGTCACTCAGATTTAATGCGAGACATCAGGCAACATCACCGAAGAAACCTCCCTCGAACGACACTGGAACTTTCTGAAAGAGATGTGGAAGGAGACCTGCATAACCAAGTTAGGAAGGAAGAAGACAAAGACAAAACAAGGAATGGATCTCCATGGAGACATAGAAGCTGGTAGACGAGGGAGAGGAAGATGGTGAATCAGAAGATAAACCACTGCAGTGTAGTGCAGAGATGAACAACGAACACAACCAATAAAACACTTCACTGGACAAAGAAGTGAGGAAGAGTGCACGCAAAGACTAAAGACACTTCCACGACACACTGGCAAGTGAAACAGAACAGGCTGCAGGTAGAAGAGGTAGAGACCTGACAACACTATATCAAATAACCAGGTCACTTACTATCTGGGATGGAAGAGATCAACGCAGATGAAACCAGTGAGGGATAGTGGAGGAAACCTAGTTGCCAAAGAGGAGGAACAAACGAGACAATAGGCTGATCACTCCAAATAAATATTGAATCGATCACCATGACCACCACCACCACCTGCAACTCGTTGAGAAATACCACCAGCAGCCCAGCAACAGAACTACCAGTGAACACAAGCCCTCCGACAAAAGCAGAAGTGGAGTCCTGAACGCCATTAAGATGCCGAAAACCGGGAAAACAGCAGGACCAGATGGAATCCCACCAGAGGCACTAGAAACAGTCACACAGAGACAACAGTGGACACGCTCACACCAACACTGCAGAAGGTGTGCAGGGAAGGAAGGAAAGGTACCTGCCCATTGATTGGAAGAAGGACTATCTGGTCAAACTTCCAAACAAGGGAGACCTGAGTGTTTGCAAGAAGTGGGACGGAATCATGCTCCACCTCTGTTCACCCAAGCAAAATATTAGGCCACATCATCATAGAGAGACTTAAAATCGCTCTGGATTCAGGAAGTGCAAATCATGTGCGGATCAAATTTCAACGCTACACTACGCATCATCATGGAACAGAGTATAGAATAGTGGTCAACTCCCTTCCTCAAATTTATCCACTTCGATAAGGCCTTCAACAGCGTCGACTGAGAAGTAATTTTGCAGGCAGCTGCTTCAACACTACGTGTCTAGTGCCACAAATCTTTATCAACTTCATTCTACTGCTATATGAAGATACCGCATGCCAGGTGATTCACAGTGGAAAGCTCAGTGATGCGTTTGAAGTGAAGACAGGAGTAAGACAAGGCTGACACCTACTATCACCGATCATCTACCTGATTGTGGTCTACTCGACTGGATCATGCATTAGACTGTGAAGAGCGAGAAGAGTGGGATATGCTTGCTGGACGGATGGAAAGACCTTAGAAGATTTGGATTTCGTCGTCGATGATGATTTATGTGTAATGTCTTTTCACACGAACTCGAAGATGTACAGGCGAAAACCAACAATTTGATGCACGACAACAAGCTCCAATCACCATGAACGGAAGTAGTCTCTTTCACCTGCATAGGTTAGCAGCATCGTTCTAACTACAGGCGACCTAGACGAGGATGTCAACGCCACGATTGGGAAAGCAAGACAGACCTTTATTAATCTGAAATCAGTGTGGAGATCTACTGCATTCAGCACTAAGAACAAGATCCAGATTTTCAATATTAATGCTAAGTCAGTGCTTCTATGTGGTGATTCAGAAACTTGGCGCATTACGAAAAGCATTTCCAACAAACTACAGACATACATTACATCAACAGCTGCCACCTACACTCACTCGATACTGATACTGAAGATCAGATCAGATCAGATCAGATCAGGTGGCCAGAATAATGAGAATTAGCAACAAGGAACTCACTCTGGCTGACTGTCAACGAACCGACCAAGAATCTATCGCCCAACAAATATGCAAAAGAAAGTGGAGATGGACTGGATTGGACATAGACTGAGAAGACCGATTGGGAACATCACGGTGCAGGACAGGCCAGTTTCTCGAGTGGGACCCACATGGGAAACGACGAGTCGGCCGTTTGAGGTGAGGGTGACACGGAGGAGATGGTGTGAGGAAGAAATGAGAGCTTGTGGGCAGTGGTGGAGCCAGGTTGTAAAGACTGGAGAGAAGAGAGTGAAATGGCGACGTGCTACTGAATTTCTATGTTCCACTAGGAACCCAAGGGACAAATAAGAATTATAATAATGATGCTGCGGTGATTACAAACTAGTTAGGCTTGTAAGTTATTGTTTGTGAACCTTCATTGACTATGACTATAGTTGTTAAAGGGGCATTCATTTTTTGCAAAGAATACTTGTTTTCCGTATGAGCAACCATCTGCATACTTGTCACAGTATTGCTGCAGATCCCCCAAATAATCTGTGTGGTCACAAATACGTGGGGAAAGGTAGTCTACTTGTGCAGTCGAAGTTGAGAGAAAGTGTAACTAAATGGCTTCCAAAACAGATCGAGTATAAGACACTGATAATCGCAGGTAACAGGCGACCCTCTTATTCTATAGCCAAACGAATTATGGCAAAGTATGTTAAAATAATTGTTCGAACAGCTTCCAAAGCTTTATGTAGAAGAAAGCAAGGATGCTTATCGGGATTTGCAAAAGCGATGGCTATACACAAATTACAACCACATTTGTGTTCGAAAATAATTTATCCCTACATACAACTAGTTTGATAAACCTTGTTTCTTTACTATGATTAGTATCAATTATGCTATTCTTTTTTGTTGATATTTTCATCATCCCGTCGGTGATTGGACTGAATTGATCTGTCTCTTTCCGTATATAGGTTCCTGCGCGGACACCTCAACAATACCTTCGCTTCAGTTTCATATTGATCGTGAGTAATTGCTAGCAGTGGAATCCAGAAAGCGCCTTTCGTCCCATTTTAGACTTATCAACTAGATATACTTGCCTCCCAGTTAGCGATGATGTTCCTAATAAGAGTCGAACGCCGGATCAGTAGCTTCAAACTTCAGACAGTTATCCACCAGGTCATCTAGTCACAATAGCCACCACTTGTCTGACAGGTAAAGTTTTATTATGCTACTTGTGGATAGAGCTTTAGTATTTGAAGCGATATTTAGTGGGTTCCAGTCCTAGTGGAAACAGTTTCACCCACTGGGAAGCAGTTATGTCCAGCTGACGAGCTTGAAATAGGGGAAATGGCGGTCCTGGATCCCACTACTGGCCACCATTCATCATTAACATGTCACTCTGCCTTCTTGTTCTTATCTTTCTCAATTTCAAAACCTTATTATCTCTTTTGCTTTATTTGTCCTTCCATCCTTCGACTTTATAGAAACTGACGTGACGAATAAATGTGTGGTTAGACTGTTCGTAATGTATGTGGAAAAACATCACATTGTTCAGATAAACTGCGTTTTATAACTACATCACTTAAATTCATCAAAGAGACTGAATGTTTCAATTTCTGATATAAACTCAGTTTCAATATTGACAGAATCTACAGATATTTGCCTTATTTTACATTAGTAACGAATTGTATATTGAAATCCTAAGAAGTCGTGAACATATTATGAATAAAGATATATTTACACTAAAAAAATATTTCATTAAGTTGACAGTTAAGTAACTCACTTTTCTTAACCAAAATGGAACCTCAGTTCTGCGATCACCACGAAAATGCAAATTGACCACAATAAGGCACAGAAATGTGGACAGTGTCACCAAGGTCATATTTATGCAATAATAATTACCTGAGTATAAAATTAAGAGAAAAAAAGACAGTTGACATGAAATATGAAGAAAAGTAACGGAAATTATTGGACTACTTACTTACTTATTACCCCTTAGGTTATAAATCAGGAATATGCTATTCAACCGAAGTTATTGATTATATGTACATGCACAATTATTGTCTGTGTGCACATACCTCATCACATTTTACACTTTCTGCTTTCAGTGTTTGCATAGTTAGCACATGTAAAGACAGACATTATCTGATAGTTTGTACCACACAATATTTACCATTCCTCCATTTGTCAGATAAGACAGATCCATATATATATATATATATATATATATACATATATATATATATACATTTATATATACATATATATATATATATATTATATAATTATTTGTGGTGAATACATCTAGTAAACTAAATAAATACTCTTTTTTCATCTACTCTTATAATTTAGGCATTTGTGAAATTTTGAGATGTCTTACCATCAATCATCTTCACCCTTTCTTTTTTCTTGGTTCTAATAAACACTTCCGCTTTATAGGATATAAACAATCAACTATTCCTTGTGAAAACAGATTCTCTATCTTCTTGTTTTTTACTTTGGATATGATTATTCTTGAGGGTATTAGATCTGATCAGACATTAATATTGTCAAGGGGGATAAAAGAAAGATTTCGATAAATTCTTGTTTTCATCACTGGATGAATTCAATTACATTAACTACTGATAAATACTTAGAATTCACATCTGATCAATTTGATCAAGGTGGAGGTTTAAAGCCTTACTCCCAAGACAAGGGAATAAGTATACTCACTTCACAGCCTAATCTTCTAAACCACTATAGAAGATGCGTAAACCGAAGGAAATCAATTTTTTCCAGTTTCTTCACTTGTATCAACTGAACTTGCCTACGATCTCATCAAGGCTTAAAGTTTCCCAATATTTCCAAATAGCCTTGTGAGTGTGAACGTTTTCAGGTTACCTCAAGTAAAATTTTTACATTTGCTTAGTTACTGAAGTTACACGAAGGTATATGCGATTTCCAAAAATTCTCATGCAGCTTGTACAGGTTCATTGCGTTTATTACCATCCTCCTTTTTTTGTACCGCCACTTATTTGCTTAAGTATTCTCATACCACTTAAATATTGAATTTTAAATAAGACCGGAAGAATTTGGAACTATTAACGGATCTCAGCTGACAACACTGCAGAGTGCAAGACATTTGCAAAAAATTGTCTGAACCCTAAGAGGAGAGAGAATAAAATTCCAACTAAGCAACCCAATAGAGTTGCTGCCTTCCAACAAGGACAAAATTAACCATTGAATAACATCTGGTGATCTGTAATTCTAAAGTTTTAAAGCATCCAAAGATTCCTATGGCAATGGTAAAAAGCAACAATCTAAACAAAAAATATTCTTCTCAATTAATTCTCATCAGGTTCCATAATTAATCATAAAATGCATTTGTACAGCATTAAATCAGGCCAAGTTGGGGGCAAATACATTTTCAGTTTACTGAAGGTCACAGTTCAGGTTTGATTGCAACAGCCTTGATTATGTTATGCATGCTTTGGCGAACCACATGTGACATAAGTTTGGAATATGATGTATGACATTGAAGGCTTCATTGGCATGTATGTGGTACCCTGTATCTACTAGTTGTCTTAGGATGCAAAGTTTCACCACTTTCATCCTGCCTTCTATGAACAAAGCGGATAAACGCTCTCGTATCCGGAGACGTACGTGGCTAGTTGTAGATTGTACGTAACTTGTTCCACAAGAATAGTTCGGTTGATACATGCAGAATGAAGAGCTAAGAGTAGGTAGGTTATCCTATAGTCTCAGAGTGTGTTGGTTCACTATTGAAAGATATGCACAGTCAACCCACAAAAAACACCCTATTTACTGCTTTTGCTAAGCACTGTAATAAAAAACCACTTGGAGAGTCTCTTCTGAATCGTCAAAGCGAAAACAAGAGCTCCTTCTTCATTGTCATCATTTCTTATTTAGAACCAATGAAATTAATGTTGACTTTGATGGACTTATCCAAATATCCGTTTACACCTGCAGTATCACGAATAGGAAGTAGATCTTTGTCCATACACTCTTTGAAGGAAATCAGTCTTACTGTAAATGCCAGGCACTTCGACGAAATGCAGCTGAAGAAGTGTGCATTCTATGCCTTCTCAGTACAGAGTCATCAAGAAAATGCATGGAACCATTGATTTTATTTTCATACGTCAAATGAACTGATGTGTGAGCGCTGACAAAATGGTTCAGGATAGAATTAATGCACAGGCACTTATCAAAGACTAAAGAAATATTATTTACGTATAACAGTACAACTGTATATTAGCGATTTATTCATTTAAAGAACCATTTTCCTATTTTACCGGAAATATATTTACAGATATGGGACCCAATGGAGATCCCACAGGCACTTCGTCAAATTGTCTGTACAGATTATTGCTGAAGATGAGCTGGACATTCACTGTACATTTCAGCTATAGTTCCTTCAAATTCATAAGGGGGAATACCAGTGTTTGATTTAATTCTTTGTAACTGCCCGCAAATGTAATCCGCGGTTTACTATAGAGTATAAAGCATTATTTTAATCCAGCAACTTCGCATATTAAATTGACTTGAAAGCAAAAATTAGCCTTCAAGCAGTAACTTCCTCGAATTAATTACCTTACTGACATAATGTGACTTCCTTCTCTTAAAAGCTGAAATAACAATTTCGTAGAACCAAAATATTCAACTTTGCTGTAATACTGAAATTTCGCAATTAGCTTTATTTTCGCCTCTTGATATTATTTTCATATTAGTAGCATTGTTATTATTATTTTAACACGCAAAAGGCTACAAATCAGTTTACACATTAGAAATATTTTATGCATGGGCATAAAAAAGTGCAAGAGCAGAAGCCAGAAGTGTTCCCGAAATTACTGCTAATTTAAGCAAGGATGTGCGTTTCGTCTTATTTGGGACTTGTCGCCTCGATGTCCCTCTATCCTGGCGATTTTTGTTCCTAGTGAAACTCAAACTCGATGCCCATTGCTTCACATTTACAAATATAAAAAGAATAACTGATGCCTGTTGCATAAGAAATAGCCATCGTACTCTATTAGTCTAGTGGATGATATATTTAGAGTTTGAAGCGATGGGTACTGACTTCAAGTATCAATGAGAATATTTTCACTCACTGGGATACAGATACACCTGGTTGATGAGTGCCAGGAGGGATGAACTGCGCGCCAAAGGTTCTACTGCTAACTATCAAAACAAATAAAGCATCGTGAATATCCAGCAGTATCGAGGCATATGGATAGAAGCCCATCTCCCAACCGAGACCTAGCAATTCGACCCAGTATAACAACGGGAAATTACTAGTTTCAAAACAAAACACTGTTCTAACACCTAGTTTCTACAAAAAGTAGTAGAAGGGGAAGTTCACTGAATAAATTCTCTTGCAGTCACTTTCCTGTTCACACTTATATGTTTGGCTAGTTTTCGGGCAAAAGCTAATGAACATATTTTTCATGACTTATCAAAGATAAGACTTCATCAGGATAGACTGAGAGATGACTTTTTTTTACATATGTATACATCTACGTGAGTGGATCAAATTTACGCATTTCTTTTCAAATGACCTCCTTTTTAATCTTAAAAAAGAAGGAATACAAATTACTAACAGAAAGAAGAAATTTATCAGCTTATTGCTTGTTATACTTTCATTCTTTAGCAGTTATTGACAGATGTTAGTGTGTGTGTGTGTGCGCGCCTGCGTTCACATTAACATCTATTTATTTGGACACTATTAGCCGACATATTTTGCTTCCTTTCTTTGCCTTGCTTATCCACTATCAGTTCACTGATTCAATTCATTTAAGTAATTTGTAGTGAATAAGATGATTAGATTTGTTACTCTTTCATAGTAATATACAACCTCATCAATAATCCCTGAGAATTGGGAATTTGTTTTAACCTTAACAATTTGCGCACAGATAAGAGACGCACGATAATGTATTGAGTGTGCGTATATGTGTATATGTATATGAGTTTGATTTCTCATGCTTTTTTTCTTCAAGTTTATGCAATGGAAAAACCTCCTTTATCAGTAAGTTATTTAAGAGATGTATGTAAATTCATTCCCGAAATAAGATTAAGGATATATGCTTCACAATTTAGATATAAGGCTGACAAAAGTAGCGAAAGAATTTTGCTTAAATTAGATTGTAGTGCTTCAGGCCAATTAGTGAATAAGTGTACAGTTTTACATTGTCCATAGGTTGCTTGAAACTAATTCAAACTTTATTCACCAATCGAAGGCTTCAGCAGAGTAGTCAATGACACTCCCACTCTTTAATTATGAATTGAAGTCAGCTGATTAAGTTCAATGTATACAACATTTTATTGATACTTGTAATTTCCTATTGCTAAAAGTATTAGTAAATAACAACCGATACTGGTTGCAGAAAGGGTCGCTTTCGTGCCCTGGTGAACTGTTGGATAACGTTTTGGTGTTTGAAGCGATGGAGGCTGGCTTCGAGTTTCAGTGAGAACAACACTAACCCACGGGGTGCAGCAACATCTGGTTGACAAGTCCCGAATAGGACGAAACACGCTTTCTAAATTCCACTACTAGCTACCAAATATACTATATCTCGCATAAATTGCACAAGTGAATTTACAAAAAAACTGGTCATTCCAGCAGTCTGTTTACCAGGTTTAACAGTAGACTTTTGTCGACAGACTTCTTAAACGTCTCACTAGTATAATTCAGTCTTGGTGCTATAAACAGAAGTGAACCATGAGGTCGGCATACTTTTACCTCTAGAAGAAGGTTTATAAACATCATTTCATCATCTTTCAACCCAAAGTTTAGTAATTTTAAAGACACAGATGGTTGAAATTTTGAAACAATACAGACTGGATAAATAACTCAACTAATAAAGCAAATCTAAGCTTTTACGAGGAAAATCAGCATTAACTAGATGAGAATTTTTCTCATATTTATAGCTAACACAATGATCAAGTTACTGTGGAGTGACTTGGTAGACTAGTACTCGTTTTTAGACAAGGCTTTAAGCAAAATGTAATACTTAGTGGATATTATAATAACTTGCTAAGCCAAGTCAAAGTGAGTTATTTTACCTTTTAATAACTAACGAGTCGTTGAATGTCTATACCAGTGAGTCAGTTATGTATAGACGGCTAGGATCACTTGGCGGAATGATGTGTAGCCAATATGTGTGTAAATTACAACTATTACCATTATTATTATTATTTGTCCCTTGGGTTCCTAGTGGAACATAGAGCTTCAGCATCATGTCTCCATTTCACTCTGTTCTCTGCAGTCTTTACAACCTGACTCCAACACTGCCCACAAGCTCTCATTTCTTCCTCACACCATCTCCTCCATATCAACCTCAGATGGAACTCCCAATTCATCGTTTCTTATTTGGATTCTACTCGACGACCAGGCCCGGCACGCCATGTCTCCCAAAGGTTTTCTCAGTGTATGCCCAATACAATCCATCTTGACATTCTTCTGCATATATCCTGAGCGATAGGTTCTTGTCTGGTTTCTTACCCGCCTTTTCTGTAAACTTGTTGAATTTCGCCTGTACATCTTCGAGTTCGTGTGAAAAGACATTACACATAAATCATCATCGGCGACGAAATCCAAATCTTCTAAGGTCTTTTCATCGGTCCAGCCAGCAAATCCCACTCTTCTCGCTCTGAAAGCTGTTCAAACAATTATTTTAACATACTTTGCCATAATTCGTTTGGCTATAGAATAAGAGGGTCGCCTGTTACCTGCGATTATCAGTGTCTTATACTCGATCTGTTTTGGAAGCCATTTAGTTACACGTTCTCTCAACTTCGACTGCACAAGTAGACTACCTTTCCCCACGTATTTGTGACCACACAGATTATTTGGGGATCTGCAGCAATACTGTGACAAGTATGCAGATGGTTGCTCATACGGAAAACAAATATTCTTTGCAAAAAATGAATGCCCCTTTAACAACTATAGTCATAGTCAATGAAGGTTCACAGACAATAACTTACAAGCCTAACTAGTTTGTAATCACCGAAGCATCATTATTATAATTCTTATTTGTCCTTTGGGTTCCTAGTGGAACATAGGAATTCAGTAGCACGTCGCCATTTCACTCTCGTCTCTCCAATCTTTACAACCTGGCTCCACCACTGCCCACAAGCTCTCATTTCTTCCTCACACCATCTCCTCCGTGTCACCCTCACCTCAAATGGCCGACTCGTCGTTTCCCATGTGGGTCCCACTCGAGAAACTGGCCTGTCCTGCACCGTGATGTTCCCAATCGGTCTTCTCAGTCTATGTCCAATCCAGTCCATCTCCACTTTCTTCTGCATATTTGTTGGGCGATAGATTCTTGGTCGGTTCGTTGACAGTCAGCCAGAGTGAGTTCCTTGTTGCTTATCCTCATTATTCTGGCCACCTGATCTGATCTGATCTGATCTTCAGTATCAGTATCGAGTGAGTGTAGGTGGCAGCTGTTGATGTAATGTATGTCTGTAGTTTGTTGGAAATGCTTTTCGTAATGCGCCAAGTTTCTGAATCACCACATAGAAGCACTGACTTAGCATTAATATTGAAAATCTGGATCTTGTTCTTAGTGCTGAATGCAGTAGATCTCCACACTGATTTCAGATTAATAAAGGTCTGTCTTGCTTTCCCAATCGTGGCGTTGACATCCTCGTCTAGGTCGCCTGTAGTTAGAACGATGCTGCTAACCTATGCAGGTGAAAGAGACTACTTCCGTTCATGGTGATTGGAGCTTGTTGTCGTGCATCAAATTGTTGGTTTTCGCCTGTACATCTTCGAGTTCGTGTGAAAAGACATTACACATAAATCATCATCGACGACGAAATCCAAATCTTCTAAGGTCTTTCCATCCGTCCAGCAAGCATATCCCACTCTTCTCGCTCTTCACAGTCTAATGCATGATCCAGTCGAGTAGACCACAATCAGGTAGATGATCGGTGATAGTAGGTGTCAGCCTTGTCTTACTCCTGTCTTCACTTCAAACGCATCACTGAGCTTTCCACTGTGAATCACCTGGCATGCGGTATCTTCATATAGCAGTAGAATGAAGTTGATAAAGATTTGTGGCACTAGACACGTAGTGTTGAAGCAGCTGCCTGCAAAATTACTTCTCAGTCGACGCTGTTGAAGGCCTTATCGAAGTGGATAAATTTGAGGAAGGGAGTTGACCACTATTCTATACTCTGTTCCATGATGATGCGTAGTGTAGCGTTGAAATTTGATCCGCACATGATTTGCACTTCCTGAATCCAGAGCGATTTTAAGTCTCTCTATGATGATGCGGCCTAATATTTTGCTTGGGTGAACAGAGGTGGAGCATGATTCCGTCCCACTTCTTGCAAACACTCAGGTCTCCCTTGTTTGGAAGTTTGACCAGACAGTCCTTCTTCCAATCAATGGGCAGGTACCTTTCCTTCCTTCCCTGCAAACCTTCTGCAGTGTTGGTGTGAGCGTGTCCACTGTTGTCTCTGTGTGACTGTTTCCAGTGCCTCTGGTGGGATTCCATCTGGTTCTGCTGTTTTCCCGGTTTTCGTCATCTTAATGGCGTTCAGGACTCCACTTCTGCTTTTGTCGGAGGGCTTGTGTTCACTGGTAGTTCTGTTGCTGGGCTGCTGGTGGTATTTCTCAACGAGTTGCAGGTGGTGGTGGTGGTCATGGTGATCGATTCAATATTTATTTGGAGTGATCAGCCTATTGTCTCGTTTGTTCCTCCTCTTTGGCAACTAGGTTTCCTCCACTATCCCTCACTGGTTTCATCTGCGTTGATCTCTTCCATCCCAGATAGTAAGTGACCTGGTTATTTGATATAGTGTTGTCAGGTCTCTACCTCTTCTACCTGCAGCCTGTTCTGTTTCACTTGCCAGTGTGTCGTGGAAGTGTCTTTAGTCTTTGCGTGCACTCTTCCTCACTTCTTTGTCCAGTGAAGTGTTTTATTGGTTGTGTTCGTTGTTCATCTCTGCACTACACTGCAGTGGTTTATCTTCTGATTCACCATCTTCCTCTCCCTCGTCTACCAGCTTCTATGTCTCCATGGAGATCCATTCCTTGTTTTGTCTTTGTCTTCTTCCTTCCTAACTTGGTTATGCAGGTCTCCTTCCACATCTCTTTCAGAAAGTTCCAGTGTCGTTCGAGGGAGGTTTCTTCGGTGATGTTGCCTGATGTCTCGCATTAAATCTGAGTGACTGACGTGAAGATGTCCCTTGTAGATGCGTCGTTCAGTTTCTGTTCTGAGTGTTCAACTTAAAATTGTGGTCGTCAATCTTTTGAGTCTTTGAGGGTTTTTATCTTGATTTTGAAGGTAGGTGTGTTGTACTAGATAGTGAATTGTCTGAGCCTATATCTGCTCCTCTTTTTGATCTTATTTTGTGTGTCCAGTAGGCTGGCTGCGTCTCCACTTTCTTGAGATTGAGATGAGAGCTATGTTGCAATGCTGCTAGCATTTTATGAAAAAATTCGGTGATTGGATTTTTTGTATTTGTAAGATGAGGATAATTGTGGAAGATTTACGAAATTGTTTTACTCTCATTTGCAGCACCGATATTTTCATTTTGGCCATAATTATGGTAAATCCATACACATTTGAAACAATCTTATAAATTCTTCGTATTTGTTATAGGAGTCCTGATTTTGACTGACAAGATTATTCATTGACCGACGTGATCAAAGTGAACGGCTGTAGAATGAATTCAGTGATTTACCGTGAACCTAAGATGTGCATGAAATATTATCTCAGATGGAAAAAAATACTTGTGTCATTAGGTTACTTTAAAAATCCAGATAACTCTTTCGGTGTTACTGATTAGTGTATGAAATTTTTTAAAGAGTAATGACCCTACAACAAAAGTTTTAGACTTACCTATAAGGGGAAATGAACTTGAAGCCGATGGGATAGAATTCTCCAGCAGTAACAGTAAGAGGAAGAATGCAAGGAAAATGTTCATACCTATTATTTTTAAGAAATTAACAAAAATTTAATTAGAACAGTAATTAACTATCTGTGTTAACTTTTAGGACATAAGTTAGTCTTGACAACATAAATACTATTCAGAAGTAAGTCGAATTAAACAAATAGGTATTCCTATTAAAGTCTTATCATAACTAACTTTCAGTATGGACTTTCCACACATCAAAGTGTAGGCATAGAGTGCTAGTTGGAAAATAACCAGCTAATGTGTATAAAGTAAACTCAGGGATAAAGTCACTTGTTACGCAATGCCGTGTTTAAAAATGTTATAAGGTGAAATTGGGATTGCTGAGATATTTGGATAGGTCATTAAGACGATTGGTGTAACATTGAAGTGAAATCTAAAGAGAAAATGATTGTGGTAGAATTCGTAAATGAAGTAAATAAATCAGTATGAGAAATAATTACAAGTGTACTTATAAAATAAATCAATGTTTAGTTGTTATTTTAAAAAGAAATTCAACAAAATTTTGAACAATCAGATCTTTTTAGAGATAATACATAACTGAGGAAGAACAACTGTCTGAAAAACTCAAATTCTGTCTAATAATTTTATTGTTTTTTTAACTTTGAGGTAGTATAGATCACGGACTGACATCAGTCGAAGGACCATAAAAAACCCGGAAGCACCGGACAGTCGTTTCCTCCTAGAATGGGATTCCTCGGCAGTACGCACTCACGATCCGGTTAGGAATGAACTCAGGATCTTCAGTTTTTTGCGGCGAACGCGTTAACCATTCTGCCACTAGGCCGACTGGTTAACCCACAGGTCATGGCTCCTCATTATAGTTTCGGGATATCCATCGGGAAGCATGTCATTTTTCAGCACTATACAGTAATGTGCGTTTAGGTTTCGCAAGTAGTAAGCGCAGTTTAACAGTATCCTTTACTGGCGAGCACAGAGATATAAACCTTCTATTCAAGTAGTGGTAATCCAGTACAATTTATAAAAATTATCGATAATACTTAGAAGAAGGAACTGAAAATTTTAAAGGAAGGAGGCAAGAAATGTGACTGTATACAGACCATAGTTTAGCCACATATAAAAGTCACACAATGGTGCATTTGAAAGAAGTCTTAGAAAACCAGGTATTGTTACTGCATTTGAACTAATAAGTCTAGTCATATACAAACTAAACCACTTTAAAGGATTGATTACCATATCAGAAAAGATTAACGTATTACACTAAATGCCATATTTTGACCACTCTGTTATGTGCGTCGATCAGAGCTCCAGATCACTAAAAGTTGAACTAAATCACCAACTAAGAATAGACAAAGAGTAGCCTATCGGTGCCAAAAACATAAAGGTGGAATACATTCATCTGTGCTGACCCACGCTTGAGAAGACAACTTTGTTGATACTCGTAATAACAATAACTTACTGAATTTCAAGTTAAACAGATAATGAGTATGATCATTCACTGAATCTATATTCCTATACGCTGCTGATACTTGCAGAAAAGGTGACTGAAAGCAGTCATCAGCCACATAGGACATCGTGTTACATAAACAGTAAGTAATCCCACAAAATATATAAATATCAGTTTGACTATCTGATATAACCGTGGTTTGGCATACTTGTATTGATACTGGGTAATGATGGAAAGTCAGATGGAAATCTAAGGCGCAGCAGGATTTGAACCAGAAACCTCCGGGACCCCGGCTCAGTGCTCCAGCAACTGAGACACGAGACCCAGCTGCTGATCGGATTTTAACTTGAATTAAAATGAAAATCTGGTTAGCGGTAGGTTTTGTGTCTCATTTGGTAGAGCACGGAATCGGTAACCAAAAGGTCGCTGGTTCAAATCGTACCACTGCCCAGATTTTCATTTCACCCACAATCATCACGCAGTATAAACAAAAATCTACCAACCTGAGCATATATACGTATACAACTCAAGTTTAATTCAATGTTGCGAAAGTTTGAATAGTTTGATGGAGACTATTAAGAAAATTATTCTCATCTCTTAGACATTAATATTATGATCACTCTGCTAGATAATTCAGGAATAACTTCTATTCATTGTATCGTAGTATTAACAGACAATGTAGTTTTGTTTCATTTTGAATACGTCGTAAAAGGATAACTTTTACCTTCATCATCATCATTATCAACATAGGACCAGGCATTACTGCGTAACGGTCCGAGTTGCCACACCTCATATCAGCACATCAAGTAAAAAGGTAGTGAGGTGAAGGATGAAGATAAGTGAATGCAGTCAAAAGAAATATAAAGTATGAGAAGAAAGGAAAGAGGAGTGACAAAATAGTGAGATTCGGTATAGCGTTGTTAAGATGAGGATAATGTGTGTATACATCTGCGCCACTGACTTCGGTTCTGAGCCATATCACCTAGGGTCTCCAACCACTGGTTCCTCTTGTCCCGTGGACCCCAACCACCTAGTCTGCATCGTCCTACATGGCTTAAACCAACAGTCAGAGACTTCATACATTGGTGCCATGTTTTAGTCTGGCCACCTCGGGCCTTTTTCCAGCCTGAACCCACCTCAGCCAACATTGTGTGACGAGGCAATCGGTGACTAGGCATACGTAGTACGTGTCCCAACCATCTCAGTCGATGAAGGTTCACAACCTCGTCGACTGACTTACCTCTTCTCCCTAAAACTCTACACCTAACTTCTGCATTACTCACATGGTGACACCACGGAATACGTCCTATACTACGAAGGCAACGGTGGTCAAATACCTGTAACCTTCTCATGTCTTCCACTTTCAATGGCCATGTTTCACAGCCATACAGTAGAACAGAGCGGACTGCTGTGCAGTACACGCGACCCTTAATAGACAAACGAATATCACGGCGGCGCCATAGGTGGCGCAAATTGGCAAAAGCCAATCGAGCCTTTTGTATCCGTGCAGAAATCTCATCGGCAACTAACCCACCGGGTTGATCCTACTTCCCAGGTAAGTGAAGTGGTCAACACACTCAACCACTTCACTCTCTATTGTTAACCGCGGTACCGCTGAAGACCAGTCCTGGAGCAAAAATTTGCATTTGGGTGGTGAAAATCGCATCCCAAACATTCTCAAATTCCCACTCAAAGTGTTCAGAAGACTCTGCATCTTGTCAGCGTCTTCACCTAACAGGACTATGTCATCTGCATATTCTAGATCTAAGGAAAATTCACCTGTGATCGGGTCAACGTCTTTGTAATTAGGTGACGAGAGGGAAACCTCCATAAGAATATCTATGATAAAATTAAATAAGAATGGGGATAGTGGGCATCCTTGACGGACACCACTTGATGAGTATAGCTCCCTGGACAACTCACCATAGGCTCTAACATGCCCACAAGTGTTCGAGTAGAGAGCTTTCAATAAGGTGATGTACTTACTAGGCACGCCTTTCAGTGACAGACACTGCCATAAGACTTCTCGATCAACGGAGTCAAATGCCGCCTTCAGGTCGAGAAATTCACAAAAGAAAAGCAATACGACTGTGAGTTGTAATCATAAGTAACTCTAGTCTACTTGACTAGTTACAAGGATGATCTAGTGAAAGACTAATGTGGCTAAAATTCATCGAAATTATTATCTTTAGTCCACTGGTTAAAATAGAGACTGAGCGACCTGTCAATTATCAGCTATAATGTCTAGCTGGTAAGAATATAAAAACTTTACAGTTATCTTTGGTCTTTAAAGTTACAAATGTGTTCAACTAATTCCATATTAGATTTGTGTATTCTATTTATAACACGCAGGGATATAGTATTATTTACTTGATGATGTTTCGATGATAAACTATTGCTCGTAACCATATCAATGTCAACTTATGTTTACTCTCATTACCGACTTAAAATGTAAAAACTTGATATATATCTTCTTGAAAACCAATACACGGAGGTTAAACGCTTTCCTGGACAACCTAGCCAAGATTTACTCTTCCGAAATAAATTTTTTTTCATCCTTTTGCTTTTGTTTCTCAAAATAATATACAGTTGACTAGAAGTGGTACTTAAAAATCATATCTTATCAAATGCTTTTTGAATAAATGTGAGTAGGAGAAATATGGCCACGAATTTCGACAGTTTATGTTGTTTGGCGGAAGATTAAATGTTTAATGCCATTCTAATGTTATGTGTATGTATATATATGAAGAGAAATTAAAGGCTGTAAAACTTAGTGGTAAAAGTTGATGAAAATGTTTTATTTCTGGACAAAAGTGTCATATATTCATCAACATCGACTGTCTTTGCTGAACATTTGCCTTCCTTTGAACAAAATTTCTTTTTTTGAGGGAGAAATGACAAAAATCAAAATGGCTACATATAAATGTTTATATGAGATCAAAAGAAAACGATAATAGTAAGTTAGGGGATTGGTGGGTGGGTAAATGTCATTGATAATGATCAAACACATATCGACAATTTTCTCTTTCAGTAGAATCTAGTAAATAATTTAACAGCATTTACTTGGCAGTGTTCTTATTGTCGTTTGCGTTTTTCCGAATTTGGACGAAATCGATGTAAACATTGTCGTTTACTGATTATCTATTCAATCATTGTTTCCCGTCATCTACTTGTTTTTCTCTTAGATCTCCACTATTGAAACTGGAAACGTGATATCATTCTCATCTTAGCAGGGAAACGTAGTACTCTTTGACACAGAATTATTCATTTATAAATTTGTTAGATTATGTTTATTTATATTTTTAAAATTGCATTTGAATAGATTTCTGGCATTGCTTGTACGTGTTCTTGTGCGCTTCAAGAGTTAGTTATTGTTGGCATGACAGTGTTACCCCTTTGTTTTACATTGATATAGGTCAATTCATGTAGCTTCTGTTAAGTCTGTCACCAGAAAGAAAGGTTGCAGGGATCTTAGTCAAAGCTTAATAAAACTCAAGTAGCTGTGTTCACATGCCGTTTCATTGGTTTGATATTATTTCTTAAATAAAGCTTTATTCTGATGTGTATTTGCTAATTGGTTTCTCGAAATACTCTTCTGAGTGATCA